GTAATTTGCCCAACTTGTCGTGAAAATGTACTGAATACTCAGTGCGTGTTGTTCTCCAGTTCTAAAGCTTACTAGCCTGGCATCACCTCTAGACCACCGAGCTTGCACCTGATGGCCAGGGTCGAATTCGAGCCCAAATAAGCAGCGAGTACTATTTTTGCAAGTGTTTTCAGTACATTTTCACGACGGGTTGGAGAATGTTCTATTGATGTTTATAATATATTATTCATGAAATGCCTAATAGGCCCTAAACGATAACATAATATAACTTGACCAAAGTTTGTTCTCAATATTCTTGAATTTTTTAAACAAAATATTCGTTAGATATTTCTGAAATGCCGTATCTGTTTAAAAAAATCTCAGGATGTATGAGCATTTTAAGAGTTTTACCTGAGTAGACCCCAAAGGCTCTGTATCTAGGTCCGATCAGGTGCATTCTTACTACTTTTACCTAGGGCCCAGCAGTTATCTATGCCATAGTTACCAACCGTCACGCATCGTGCGGGACAGTCCCGTGTTTCAAAGTGATTTTGGATGAAACACGCATTTTGCAGAAGCACGCGAGATCATAAATTTGTCACGCATTTATCACTTGCGTAATAACGAATTAGGCCTATCACATGCAAGGGTAAAACGTATTTAAAATTAGAAGAAATTGGTTTTATTAAAAATATAAAAACGGTCATACAGTAGCTTGAGTCATTAGAGAGCTTTCATTATCTCGTTCGAGAATCAATTCACAGAGAAAATTTCTCCTTTCCGACCAAAACAACCCAGCCAACAACGCACTTGTAGAATCAGTAGTACAACCAACCACCGTTGATTATGTGACTGGAACCCGAACTTCCGCAGGGGTTACGTAATAAGCAATACCGTATATACTCGCGTATGTCCTATGAGGTACTGACTCGTGTATAAGACGATCCCAGGGATTTAGAAGATCTTTGGTTGATATTTGTATGTCTGGCCAGGTCTGGCGTATAAGACGACTCCCTGTTTCATGGTCGGAATTCCTAATTTGTTGTGGTCCTGATACTGCATCTAGCTGGATAATGGAGCCAAATGCAATGGTTATCTTCTAAATAATATCATTTTATGAGTTTTGAAATCTTCACCATCAAAATCGTATTTTCCCGTATTTAAAATTGCTTTCATTCATACAACAATTACTGTAGTTCCTTCATTACAGTATTAAGTATTACGGACGATCCTCACATAAGAGGAACATAAATATAAAAATATAAAATATGAATGTCGTGCGTATAAGACGACCCCTTTTTTCGATCGTAATTTGCTATTTTAAGCTAGCCACGTCCTATTATACGCGAGTATATACGGTATTTGTTTTAAAATCCTAGGTCACCTGAGCGTTAATCATACAGTGGCGGATTCAAGGGGGAAATTTTCCATGGGGAGGACCCCACCTCTTTCATTTTGGGTATTTTTGGAAACGTTTTGAACCCCCCTCTTTCAAATCTCTGGATCCACCCCTTAGCGTTATTACATTTGCTGGCGTTTTCACATTTGTGGGTGCAATAGGCCACCCTTTTGAAATTTATGGTATAAATTACTATTACTATTACTGAACGTTGCATTAGGTCTTACCGTTTTTTAATCAATGTTATAGGCCTAATTATTGTAATTATTTACTGTATGGTTGGAGTGTATTATTTAATTATTTGCTGTATGCTTCTGTATTGTCTACTGGGGATGCTTTATCTACATGTTTCAACAACTACATTTGTAAATCATTTATAAAATGTTTTATGTACATCTTTATATTTGTTCAATAAAAGATACCGAAATATATTTTTTCTTAGATGTAAAGCGGATCTGTTACTAACCCGTTCTTTTCTGAGATCTAACCGACCATCTAACTGCCCGTTAACACCTCATTCGGGATCTAAACTGAAAACCTTACCATGCTGTAACCTATACGGGCAATTAAAATGGTTTGTTTTTCTCAACAGGGGCACTTGAATGCTACAAATGCGAAGACTGTGAACAAAATACGTACAACACTGAATCATGTATTATACACCAGTTAGCCAACGAAATGTGTGGAAAATTCATTTCCTCGTCCGGAGGTAAATAGACTGCTTCTCCCAGTGATTGGCGACAGGATTTTCCCCGATAAGGGTAGGCAGATGTCTCCGACGGAAGGTTTGGGGACGATGTACCCGGCGAAAACGTTAGTGGGTGGGGCCAGCGGCTGTTGTAAATATCCTCTTGAAAGGGGATGAATGAAAATTTTGGAAACTCAGATGATGTATGGATTTGACAGGCTTTAATTCGATAGTCTCATAATCTATAAACATGATCCTCTCCGACGGAAGGGGCTCCGAGATTGTTATACCAACTATATGGACATGGACTGCATTGAAAATGACATAACTTACTATATATTACACCCCATACTATATTATTGATTGTAAAAGTGAAACACGTTTTATTTTCCTTGGAAATCAAATATAACAATGTAAAATTTACTGAAAAATGACCCAATATGCACACTTAGCATTTTTAAGTTGGCTTCTTTCGTGTTTTTTGGGGGTTTTTTTTGGTTTTTTTTTTTTTCTTTCTTTCTTTCTTTCTTTTTTATAGAGTGGTTGCGTTCGTTATTTTTCTGTATTTAAAATATTAATATAAAAAAACATAAAATATTATAATAGCAGTACTGCATTTGATTACATTGTTTTTGCAGGTGTTAGTCGAAGATGTATTGACGAATTGGAATGTACAACAGCGAACGAGTGTACTTTTGGTAACAAGAAAAACTGCTTCATGTGCTGTTCAACTGATCTGTGTAATGCCGCCACTCCAAGTGTCATTACCACCTCAGCCACCAGTTTCGTCGTTATCATTGCTACTACAATGATGATGTTGCTCATTATGTAGTGCCTAACATGTAACTACGAGTCAACATAAACTTGCAGGCATAGAATTTAAGTTTGCATAATTTTAAGGTTTTAACTAGATTTGTATAATAATTACTTCTGGACAGGTCAAAAGTTACACCTGGTTATACTAATTATAGGTCAACATAGCTCAGTTATACTACTATTAATTGTTGAGTTTTCCACCAATCAGCAGCAAGTTCTAACTTTCCAATCACATAAGTATTTCCCTGTTTAGAATCACTTGTATTATTTTCCAGAAAATAATTGAAACAACTCAATCGAAACGTCAAGACATTCTCTCTCAAAAGAAAAAAAATGTTTATATATGCTGTACGATTAAGGATTTAATTATTACTCTGCCATGCAAACCTTCAAACAATAGCTCTATTGTTATTAAAATGTTATGCATTAAAATTTTCAATGTCTCAACATCGAGAAAGGATTAGCCTACCTCTACTTTTTCAAGTTTCTCCAGTCGTACACTTTTCCCTGTTCGCATATCGAAGCTGTAAATTGTATTTTTAGTATCCGCACTGTTGTGTAAACCTTCAATAAACTAACCCCACCCCCCCCCCCCCCCACACGAATGACAGGCGCGATATCATCCTGCTCTGTCTGCTAGTCATCGGTAGCAGTCCGAGCAGATCGTTAAAAACGATACGTTCACAATTAAGTATAATTAATGCAGTACTGTTTTATTGTTGATTAAGCCTGTTTACAATTTTGAATTTATTGCTTTCATTACATTTGTACTAAATTGTTGTACTAGCTTCGATACTTTACTGTATTTTAAAGTTTAGTTTTGTAATTGAAAGTAAACTAAATCCTCATTCACTCATGTTGATGTAACGCCTTAACGATGAACGCCTTTGGGATACACAATCGCAAAAATCAATACCTAACCACGTATCATCGCACACGGTGTAATTTAATATTGATTTGATAAATGACGTCACATCAATGGCAATTTCTTTATTTATCGACATATTCAATGTAAAAAAATACAATACAAATTTAATAACTCCTCACTGTTACATTCTCCCTTACACTTACAACCTCTATCTAAACAACTCGCCGAAAATTACAGTGTTACAATATAGCAGTTCAAACATGACTGTAGTCTATTTATTTCATTGTAAAAGTTATTTTTTTCTTCTAGAAGAATACGCCATCTTGCCAACGTACATTAAATTTATTTTCCTTACAATTGGTATCAAACATATACTTTTTCCATTTGGTAGGAATATTTTATATAAATTAATGCATTCTTGAAGTTAGGCATACAATTTAGGCATACAATTTTTGAATCTGCATTTGTAGATATGAAATTTTAAAACCATTATAATATTATTAAAAACATAATCTCTCTGTTTATAGTATCCTAAAAGGACTAGATTTTACTGAACACTAAATTTACTTTCAAAGTTTGAAAACCGTTCCAGTAGGTCTCAATGATATCGCAGTCTCACAAATGGATAATAGACTTACCACATTTCTTACAAAACATGCAATGAGAATTGTTATCTTGACTCATTTTAGCTAAAAGAGTATGGTACATAGAATTCTTTAAACTTAGAAATTGAAACCAATGAGCTTGATTTCTTGGGTTGATTTCCAACAGTACTGGAATACGGTAAGTGTTATAAATCAGTGTTTACAACCTTTTTTTCTTGTTGAATACTTTTAGTGTTGAATCTTATACATGATTGTTTCAATCTGTTCCCTGATTCTTGCAAGTGGTGGGAAAATGGCCTATTTAAAAAAGGAGTTGTTGATGTCGTCTGATCATTTTGAGCATTCGACTGACCTTGAGTAACACATTAGCATGAAGGTTTAATTTATTTAAAATACCAAGATATTATGTTGCGAAACCCGATCAAAAGGAACCATAAAATAAATACTGTAAATATTGGCCTAATAAGGTTTTTTTTTAAAGTATTCCACACTTTGGAATATTAAGTGCAATTTTCCAATCGGTGAACCAACGAAAAAGAACCTTGAAGAAGCAAAATTTTATGGAGAGAAGAAAAAATTATGAACAATGGTCATCGGCAAACAAGAGACATATTGGAAGATGAGAATGATAAAATAATGAAAGGGGGTAAAAAAGAGATGTCGAAGATTGAACCACTGCTCCTGAAGTAGGCCTAACTGGTAGCCAGTGAAACGTGTGAAACTCTGCACTGCCTGCCCTGGGATAGGCCTAAATGGAAATCATTTAAGAAAGAAATATTACGAATATATTACTATGGTGGGAAATGGTAGAAGAGGTCAAGGGTATATTATCTATATAAGAATTTACCAAAATACTATAATAGGGCTTAATTAATATACTTAATACATTTTAAAATATTTTGCTACTGTCCCTTTAATTTAGAGGAACTAGAAACTGAAGTTCAAGCTTGCTCAGTCAACGACGGCGAATCAACTCACGGAGTGAATGTAGAACGGAAAACAATTGCGAAATACAATTACAGGGAAGGTCTTTCTGGGTACGGTGTGACGAATTCTCGTAATTTATCATGGATATCGTCAGCCTTCTCATCACTTTTGTCAGTCTGTTTAGCCTAACAGGTGAGTTTGTTTCATCCAAATGCTAAAATAACATAGAATTACAGAGAAGGAAACGTGATGAGATACCACTGGCTGTGTAATATTAATAACGACATAGCCTAAACTGGTTAGCCACCATTATGTACTGTTCTAGGCCGGGAAATTCCTTCCCAGATGGCGTGACTCATTCATGCTAGGGTGCTCATAACATTTACAATACTAACATGTGTACATTAATCAGGGAGCAGCTATGATATTGTAATATAGCTGCTCCCTGGTACAATCAACTCATTTATGTCTACGACGCCCGACTTACTACGTTAAGCAGAGAGGTACAAACAATGCATCTAATGGACTGAGGTGCGATGCCAAATGCGTGGGAAAGTATTAAAGTATCAACTCCCCAAGCAACTAATCTTTAGAATTTTATTTTCCGATAATATAGCAATGTTGTATCTCATCCATATATTTATTTTAGTTAATAATAAGTAAATTGTCTTCAATATTTCATGTTTTCTGTATTTGACTATGTGAGTATATGTTTGTTATCTTATCCTGTATGAGACCGTGAGCTATAATCGACACTATCAGCGTGGCTGTATGTGACAATGATGTTACGCCATTAGCTAGAGCAAAATTATGCGTTAATGCTACAGCTCAACACCCCTCAATAGTAGATATATACACGACTGCCGTGGACTTAACAAACGTTTTGGTACTTTAGATACACGTCAGTTGGGTATGCACTTCAGGCGTTCAAAATCAACAGTGGCTAAAAAATTGATTTAAAACGTTCGCTGACACGCCCCTTGCCGTAAAATTACCTTTATTGTACATGAGATGAGAAAATTTAAAGAATAGGCACCTTTAGATGCTTGGATATGGCACTATCAGACAGTTTTTAAAATTTATTTATCTAAAAATAATGAAATTTAGGCCTACATTAATTCTAATTTACAAATATGCTACAGTACATCTCATAAAATTATGCATAGCACTAAATGCTACATGCTATGGGATCCAAATTTTGCCACAAAGCATAATTATGCTACGAATGGGCACTATGACTGTATTCATCATCATCTTCCGGTACTGTGTAACCTCTATTAATATGCGTTAAAAACAAGCAATTATAGTCAGGTTTTGAGTACCAATAACGAGAGCCAATATTTCCTGAAAAAATTGTGAAGGAAATAATGGTTCCTGAGGCTTCTGAAACACACTTAGACTTAAGTGGAATTGCATCCATGAAGCATCATGCACTTCCCACCTTTTTGCCAACTAATTAAAGAACAAGACCAGAATAAAACTTGGTCACAAGACAGAAAAAAAAGGGATAACACAAATTGAGAAATGCGAAAAATTAAGGAAGAGTGGAGGAAAATTAGAGGTTGTCAAATAAGAATTATTTAAGATGACGCTTGAAAATCATCAAAGCAGGAGAATTTTTGAAGAGATTAATTTAAACAGTAGTATTTTAGTGGTTGTGCCAGTCAAAACATGCCTGGGCACAGAGGGCCACCCTTTTAATGCTAGGCAAACAGTAATAAATGCAATTGCAATTTTTTTCTTTATAATATTTGTCCATTACTGACTGATGCATGAGGCCCTTCCATTTCTTTTTAAATCAAAATGTTATATTGTTTATTATTTACTGTATGATTAGAGTGTAGATATTAATAATTAACTATGTTTCTGTAATGTTTGTATATATAAAATCATTGAGGATTTTTTATCTATGTGTATAGATAAGTATAAAATTCATTTATAAACTGTTTTATGTACCAAAATATATAAAAATTGTATTTATTTTTCTTGTTAGAGGCAAAATGGGTCTGGTACTAAACAATTCTTTTCTGAGATCTAACCAACCATCTAATTTCCTGTTAACACCTCATTCGGGATGGAAACTGAAAACCTTGCCATCGTATAGCCTACGGGCAATTAAAATGGTGTGTTTTTCTCAACAGGGGCACTTCAATGCTACAAATGCGATGACTGTAAAAAAAATACGGACAACACTGAAACATGTAATATTTTACACCAGTTTGCCAACGCACAATGTGGAAAATTCATTGTGAATGGAGGTAAACATTTCCGTATAACCAGTAGTTGACGCCGGGATTATCCCGAAGAGTTGGTTGGGGATGATGTCCGACGAAACCATGAGTGGGCGGGGCCAGCTGCTACCTATATACCCTTGAAAACTTAGAAAATTTACAGATAATCTGTAAAAATTATCCTCCAATGAAGAGGCCAGCTCTCTCCAAGATTGTTACACCAAAACAGTATATGCAGTATAACAGTAAATTAATTGTAAATAGCAATTATATTTTTCCAAAAACAATACTTCCGGCTTTTTTCTTTTTTTTTTAAATCTCTGGAGCTTTTATTTTCAACTTAGATTAAACAATACACTGTCGCCTAGTAGCCTACTGTATTTCAAAATATGAAATTTAAAAATATATTTCAGAAAATCTTTTTTTTAAATTTTCCTTGGAAATCAAATAAAAATTTAAAAAAATTTTAAAAAAATAAATAAAAAAAATAATGATTTTACTTTGCACTTTAAATGGTATTCTTTTATATAACAGTAGTGGTTATATTTGTTATTTTTCTTTAAAATAACATTACAATAATATAATAGCAGTATATTTGATTTATTTTGTTTTTGCAGTTGTTAGTCGAGGATGTACTAACGAGGCGACGTGTACAATAGGGGGCGTTTTTGTGAACGAGTGTTCTCCTGGTAACGAGGATAACTGCTACAAATGCTGCTCAACTGACCTGTGTAATGCTGCCACCTCGAGTGTCATCTCTGCCTCAGTTACCAGTTGCTTCGTTATCATTGCTACTACAATGACGATGTGGCTCCTTAAGTAGGGACATACATGCAAAAACTACGAGTGAACATCAACCAAGCATAGAATTCGCATAGTGTTAAGTTTTAACTAATATGTAAAAGATATTACTTCTTTGCCTGGTCAATTTTAAATTATACTAATACTACTATTGTTTGTTATACATTTATATTATTGTGTAGAGTTAGGCGAGAGACTTTTTTTATACCTTGTTTAGCGTACTCGCCGCCCGCCAATAATGATTTCCAATAAATATTTTATTTTATTTTTGGCCAATTATCACATCATCTGCCACGAAAAAATGAAAATTTAAGAAAAAATAAGTTTCGCCGCTGCCTTGAAATTTCCGAAAATATGCTATGTATTTTCCTAATTATATAATTTAAAGCTTTTAACTCTTCCATTACTACACAGTTTACATTTAATAAAATGTTATTTTTATTTTCTTCTCCATCTGGATGATTTTGTCAACACCATTTGCTTTTTGCTTGTTTCCGGCCTCCTCTGATGATTTTTTTAAAATGACATCGCGAAACAAGAATAAAAAGTCTTGCCTTGCTTGTAAATCAACTGGCGCTGATTTTAGATGCGTGGATTATTTGTATTTTTGTTCCATTTTCTCACTTTTAATACCTGCATTGTCGTGTAGACATTATTTCTACAACCCTCCCCTGAAAGAGGCGCGATATCTTCCTGCTCTGTCTGGTGGTTATCAGTCGCAGTCTGAGCAGATTATTAAAAACAATATATGCAAAATAAGTATTATTAATACAGTACTGTATTATTGTTGATTAAGCCTGTTTAACATTATTGTTTCCATTGTAATGAATTTCTTGTAGCTTTCATATTTTTACTAATACCTGTATTGTTAAGTTAAGTTTTGAACTTAAAATTAAAGTAAATCCTCATTTGGTTCATAGGTTGATGTTATTGATGAGCACTTTCTGGGTTACACATTCGCAAACTTCAATACCTAACCACGTACAGTGGCAGATTCAATGGTTTAGGGGGGGGGGGGGAAGAGGGCCCCCTAATTTTTTCAAAATTATAAATAAAATGATTTTAACAAATTTAGGGCTGAGAGTGCCATATCCAGCCATCTTGACTGACCTCAGCCCCAGCCATGGTGGGGCTGAGGTGGTGTAGACTCTCTATTTGTGAAAGTTCTTTGGGCCCCCTCTATTTTCAAATTACTGGATCTGCCACTGACACATCATCACACACCATCTAATTTAATAATTTTAATAAAAGCTGATGTCACATCAATGGCATACAGTAGTATAACCAGTACAAATAGAGAACAGAATGAGTCCGGTATTTTGATGACTATATTTCAGGATAAAATTAAATCCGTCTCGACCGAACGTATAAATGCAAGATATTGACACCACAGAGCTCATTGTAAATAATGGTATGAGCATGGAGTGCATTGTAGCGCCATGCTTTGCATCTCCAATAAAAAGCATGAAACATCAGCTCTACAGTCGAAGCCGAGTTATATCGCATATTTACATAAACCATAAATAACTGGCAATTAGCACATGTACTATAAACAATACCTACATATACATTTCTCTTAAAAAACAAGTATTCTATATTTTAAAGTAAAAAAAAATGCTTGTTATCAGACAAAAGACACATTCAGACATAATTATTAAATTAATCATTGGCAAATGTTTTTTTTAAAGATGTGGTTCTGAGTAGTCACAGTCACATGATGATTGGGGGAGGGGGGTGTTACAGTGGCGGGAGTTTATAATGACTAACTATACATTCAATAAACACTAAATGTAGCCCAGCATTTTGGAACTTTCTCTTCATAACCTTAACACTACTGTATACTCAAAAGATATACGATTATGGAGTTAAGTCCTTCAAACTGTGATGGCTACTGACTATATAATACAGTTAGCATTACACTACATGCTATTTTCTCAAACCAATCCTGCCACCAACCCCAAGACACTCCAAACACTTAACGATGACCATGTTTTTAAAAAATTAACTAACATTGAAAAGTACATTAATGATTGTGAATTCGAAGTACAAAACAAAAACAATTCTGATACTAATATATAAGAAAGACGTTTGAGTGCAGGTCTTACGACCGTTGGCCGACAAATCTAACTCCACACTCTGTGAGCATTAGACTCCGTCTGCTGAATGTCGGTGACAGCTTGAACGAATCGTCATTAAAATGATCCATTGCTTCGCATTCTCAATAGAATCGCGTAGCAGTAACTGCCTGACTTTATGCACCTGTAGATACTTGTGACTCTATATTCAAATGGTGGTATTAGACAGAAGTTATGTTGGATCCCATAACTTACTCAAACATGTTAAAACTAAAATCCTTCCTATGCTTGTATTTAAAATAAACCTGCCATGTGTGAGAATTGAACAATATTTAGCAGCAAGTACTTTGTTTGAAGGTACTTCATACAAACTGGTAACTGTCCCTTGTAAAACTACTGTTAGATTGGTTGAGGTCTGCTGTGAACTGTTGCATCCAATCAATCTTCATCGGACGACACAACCCAAAACAGCGAATGTTAAAGAAATCAACTAAATTGCGTACCATTCCACGACTGCAAGAAAACAAAACATATATAAATTAGAATGTCCTTTAAAGTTTATATGCTTATGATATGAGATTTTTGTTTGCATATTTAGTTAGTAGTAGACCTGCAGTTAGCATCAGTGATGAGGAAAAGCGGCCATAATTTTTATATTTTTGCCATAAAATACTTGTATTCGTCCACTTCAATGCCGGTCAACAGTGCAAGCTGGGCCATCTAAGCATAGACGACTAACAATGGTCCGCATACGGTAAAACTTCCGACAATGAGACTAAGAACCTAAATGGAAACCGCTGTGTGAAACTACCTTTCCTTTATTTATAGCATTATATTGTAATATATATTATAAATGTTCTATATTCAACTCTCAAGCCTTCTCCAGACAAAAACATGTGACATGTCTAAATATGGTCATAATGACATATTAAACATCATGAGCATATATAGGCACCTCATGACTATATATGGGCATACAACAGTTTTTTGTCAAAGAAAATTTGGTAATCTGGACAAAGGTTTATCCAAATGATTTCACGCTTTGTTGAATATTTTTTGCCTGCTGGCGGGGCAATCGCTGTTTTTGCCACCCCCTGGATCAGTCATAGTGTGACGACAAGTGCTGAATTCTACTGGTTGAGATACAGTCGCACTTACTTGAAAGGGCTAAAAGCTTTGCCGTCTTTATCCTTTAAGTGTTTGTATCGTCTCTGATTCATCCTCTCATTTGTAGTCAAGGCAAGGTATACAATCTGTAATGTCAAAGTTCAAAACAATTACCGACATTCAAATACAAACAATGGCATTCCTAGGAGTCTTGAAATGAGGGGGGGGGGGAGAAGAGCCGGAGATTACAATAGTGATATCTTTCATAATTATGAAGTAAGTACTAAATAAATTAATAAAATAAGTAACGGATTGCCCTTCTGGATGGCAATTAAATGAATTAAATTAATAAATTTATTTAATTAATTACTAAGTAAACTAAATAAATTTGTTTTAAATGAGTGAATGAATTATAACAATGGAAAGAAGGCATGAAGAAATTAATTATCGCAAGAAAGTAAAGTAGTTGGACTAATATTTAAATGCGTCTACCTGAAATAGCTGGCATACTAACAGCAAGCCAACCCACAAAATATGAGCAAACGTGTTTAAACTGATCCAAAATACCCACGGAGAACACGACATTAACTGACCAATGAATATCCATAGACCATCATTTTCAAAATTGGTGTGACATTCATTATTCCAAACTTTAAAAAAAAGAAGAAAACTCATGAATATTATCAAAATAATATATATAGTATAAATAGAACAAGGGAGCGTACTTTCGTTTGTAAATATGTCACTCCCCTATTTACGATGGAAGTCGTCAAACAATGGAATTCATCATCTACTTTATTTACTATGAGCTACAGTACAACCAATATAGCCTAACCATATACCAATTATAGCCTAGATCAATATGGCCTAGCTATACACCAACATAGCCTAGCCTAAGCAAAATTGAAAAATTAGAATACTGTATAGGCCAGTAAGAATGTAATGGGTATTGTTATCTTGTACACTTACACTGTATTGTTCCATACAAACACCATGATATCATTCCCTCCAAAAAAAGTAAATACAGCACAAAATAGTGGTGATTCCTCGACCCTAAAGAAAACATTATGTATGTTAACACATAACTGACAAATATTTCAAGGCAAAAATTGTAAGAAAAGGTAAAGTCTACATAAAATCTGGAATAGAAAATATTTTAATCTAATTAACATGACCCTCCATACACGATATGTTTAACACTATATTTCTTTAAATGTTCTTTACTGTCAACCTTGTTATTTAAATATCAACATTTTTATAGTTGATATTAACACTGTTAGCAATGCACCTGCTAATACTGCCATCTTTGCCACCATGGTGGTCATCATCTTATCATGTTTACCGTCATTGTTACCATCATCAATGTAATTATTATTATTTTTGTTGTTGTCAAGTGGAAGAATAAAAGAGATAGCAGAGTGGTAACTTACCAACACAGTTATCAATCCAGGGACAGTGGTGGTCAAACTTGGCAACACAATGATCACAGTGGGAGCAATGCTTTGATCTGATTGGTCGTTTAATGAGACAAGATGTACAAAAGTGTTCAATATTTAACGTACCCGCCTCTGCTAGTTCTATTATCACCTATCGAAAAAAAAAGTATTAGGTGAAATCAAAATTGTTATTGCCAATACAAAAAAATAAAAACACTGAATAGGCATTTCTTTTGAATGAAGCTGTTAAAACAATAAACAAATAGATTTTATAAAAACCTTGTAAGCATCAGCTCTATAAGATAAAATTATAATTCCAAGGGCAACCAGCCTCCCTCTTCTATATGTTTTTTACATAAAAATTATGTGTAATTTACTGAGGTGCATTTATTGAGAGGGGTCAGTCCATTATTTTTTAGAGGAAAATTTGAAGAAAATCTTTGCTTTTATCATATTCAGTTTTAACTAAAATAGACTTGTGATTCTTACTGCTTTTCTGTGCTCTTGGGAGACCTTAATTACTCCTGGATCACTTCGCCATGCCTTCCAAAAATTGTACCAGAGAAAAATTGAGTTGAAAACAAATGGAACCTGTATATGCCAATCACTAACATGTATTCAATTGTTAAGGATTAAATTTATTTTGTAATAAACAAGACTTTATATAATAATAATAATAATAATGAAGCACACAGGTCAAGGATTGCAGGGGTGCCGCAGCTACAATATCAGCGCTGGTTCGAACGGTACGCTCACCTATGGCTCTGGTGGTGGAACAAGTCTTCTCAGATAAGGACTATAAACTGAACCACATTACATTACACAGGGGTCCTAAGTTGGAAAAACCCATTTCTGGGAGATTTGTTTAACGACATTGGGGGTGCTATATATTTTATGAGGAAAACGTGTAGGTACCAAACGAAGGATCATGCCCACCTCAAGCCCACCTAGATTTGTTTTTTACTGACTTTGAGGGAGACCGTACCGATTTTCAGGAGACTTCCGGGAGTCTTGCGACCCCTGATTACATTACTTTTTAACTATCTCACTTACGTGTAATGATCACACTCTTGCTTGTAGTAATCATCCTCTTTCTTGTGAATATTATATTCTCCTATTTATGCTAATTTATTAGTACACTCGCCTAGTCTTTTTAAGCCAACAGTGGCTACAACAGCTTAGACAACTGGGCTATGTTGCTCTCTGCCAGTATTTTCATAGTTCAGTGCACATACAGAGGCTCCCAACCAGAAGGCTACCTAGGCTCACACTTATAATAAAGGATATATGGCCAAAAAAATATGAACCAACTGGAATACATATAAAGCTTTGTGGCTAGGTATATATACAACGGCAGGATCGTCATCAGTCTTGGATCAAAGAACAATCTTAAGATAAAGAACAAACAAGTCAAATTAATGTTTTTAATATCAGACAGAAAAGACTGTAGCAGAAACAAAACAGAAGAGTGAAGGCAACAAGTTTAGGAAGGCAACAAGTGTAGCAGTGATAATATGAACAAGTTTAAAAAGGCAACAAATATAGCACGGGGACATAAACATGTTTAGAATGGCGGCAACAAATGTAGCAGAGATAATATGAATCCTGTCTTCCTTTCTTATTTTGTGAATCATTGTATTTTTGACTGTTTTTATGAGATGAATAAATGAAATGAGTTTAAGGCAGCAAATGTAGCAGGCAGCAATCAACCAGTTTTTGGAGCAACCTTAGTAGCATTAACCAACTTTACACTTACCCTGAAACAAAATAGCATACTCCATAAGCTACTGCTGCAAGTATGATTTTGACAAACCAGTGTAAACTTAACTCCGGTATAAAACCAATAAGGAACATGATAACAAATGGTGTACCCATCATCACTTTCCTCCGAACATCCTATGAAAAAAATATCCAAAATTTCAACTATCAATATTATCAATAATACCGCAAGCATTAATATATTATAACAATAACTAGATTTTAACTCGTCACTTCGGACGAGTTAGGTGATCCACTTGTCCGGCAAAAGAAATCTTGCAGCGCTTAAAAGTGAAATATGGAAAAAAATATTGTAGCCAGGATTTTCAAACTGCAGGAAAATATCAAGTCTGCCGCCCTCTATTGAAAGAGCTGGGGAGAGGTTAGAAAAACATTCATTTTGACCATGATGACGTCATCAAAATGAAAAATGAAGTGACACTTCCGAAAGAGAATTGTCTCAGCTATAACATACCTTACTCACAGGTGGGTGACGATCAATCAAGAATAAGCAAGATACGTTCAAATGAGTATAAAAATAATGACGACATAAATAAAAATTCAGTTTTCTGATGGCAATATGATGACGTCACAATGTCCGATCAGCCATTATGATCTATAAAACCATATCTACAACTCATGTCCTTTCAGAAAATGTAATGAAAATTGGGGGTCTTCTTTCATCCTAAGGAGCTATAACTGATTAAAAATAGGCCCGATTTTAGCAAAATTGCACGTAGATGACTTCACACATGACTGGTCACATTGAAAACCTTATTGCGACTATTCCAGGCCAAGCCATAAGTTCATTGAAGCTGCCATGTGCGAAGCTCATGCCAATTTTGAGATATTGTGCGCACAAAAATTGGGAGAAAGAAAGAATAAAACAAGAGGTGATCTGCTTGTGAAGCAAATCACCAATAATGTTTGGAATTCATGTACATTATACGGTATGAAAGTACTTCTCATTATTACTATGGTCACTGAAAGAGTACTAATGAGCAGTGGTGTATGTAGGGGAGCGAAGGGGTTGCACGCCTTCCCCAAAAAATACTTTTCAAGTTATGCTGCCATCTACAGGGCAGCATTTTCATGTTTCAGTGCTCATATTTGCCCACTGCACTCACTATGAATTTAGTCAGGAATGTATCTTCCACCAACTCACCTTGTTTGCCTGCACTGACTGGAGGAATGAATACCTACTTGCGAAAGGTATCTCACCCCTGCTGTCCTGGATTTGGTTCACAATGTAGCCCCGCTTTTTGGCAATGGCAATTTTAAGGCAGGTTTCTCCCTACAATGATATGAAAATGTTAATACAGTTCAACTTGCCTTAATCGAATCCAAAATGGCATTGAAAAATTGTTCGACTTAGACAAAATTTGACTTACAGATTGTTGTAATGGAAAATAAAACAATGAGGCTTTGAAATTATTTGAAAATAGGCGAAGTCGACTTTGGCAAATTCAACTGTACTACATTACTTTTAACCAGCATTTGATTGTTTACCTGACAACATACAGTAAAACTTGTAAAATTATTAACAATGATTACAAAGGTAACTATAAACAATGATTAATTTAGCATCATCAGTTCATTTTAAATTTAAGCAACAAAAGAGAAGTTTCTTGCCTTGACGTTTTCAATGTAAGTGTCAGCATTGGCCCGCAGTAAGGCCCCAACTGCAGCACCATTTCCCACTGCAGCTGCCCAATGGAGGGCGGTGTGTTGAAATCGTTTATCCTGCAGATTTACACTTGCCCCCAACGTCAGCAATATACGCACAGGATCAACCCTGATGAAAGAAAGTACAACATGGTTGCTAAGGTTCTAGATTCTATGGAATTAAATGCTAAGATTTTAGTTGCTATACTGGATACTAAGAAAATAATAAATAATAACAGATGGATTTATATAGTGCAAATAAACAGGGTCTCTATGTGCTTGACAATACTGTAAGACAATGAAAAAGGTAAAATAAAAAGCAAGAAAAAAAAAATTAACACCAATTAGCACCCAAACCAAAAATATGGGACTACTGTAGTTACTAAGTCTTTTTTTTTTATGAGAGTAGGAAGGAAAATATTTGAGTCATGTAGAGAATCTTGGAATTTTAAAGAACCAAGGATTCTGACATTGGAAGATGAGTACCAGGATATGAAAGAACTCTCCTATTTCTCTGGAAAAATTAATATCACATTTTTTAATAGATGATTAGATGATGAAACTCACGCAAAAACTCTAAAGGACGCCCACATAAGAGGGGTCATCCCACTACTGTCAATCATATTAGGGTCCTGAAAGACAAAATAGCCAAAGGACAAGTTTTTAAAATATGTGTATGAATTCTCTTTTTTAAACAATATTAATATATAATATATAATATATTATACATAATAATAATAACAATAATAATGACGATAATAATAATAATAATAATAATAGTAATAATAATAGTAATAATAATAATAACTTCGAAAGACGAAAAACCAACAATCAAGACGAGGGCGCGCACCAACCAAGTCACATATATTACCCTGTAATTTAACAGAATCGGCCCTCTAGAGATCAGTCTGAAGAAGCTGTTCATGCGAAAAATAGGAAAACTGTTAAGGTAATTTCTCACCATTCAACTATTTAATTTTTGCTTTGAAAAAAAGGAAAAGAAATTCTCAATAAAAATGATGATAATAATAATAATATTATTATAATAATAATAAAAATAATAATAATATGATTTATATAGTGCCTTTCCAAGATGATCAAGGCGCTTCAGAATGACTAACACCACCTAATATCTAAGCTCTTAGACAAATAGAATAATTAATAAGGTAGCAGTGGGTATATAATAAAAACAATACCTGTCCTTTAGATACAAGGTATGCCACAATGGAAGTGTGTCCAAATTGAGAGGCAACATGGATACAACTCAGTCCTTCAGTGTCCCTTATTGACGGATCGGCTCCATGCTGCGTTAGCAGGACCACTGCGGGCAAATGACCTTGCCTAGTTGCCCAATGTAACGGAGATGCATTCAACTCACCACCAGGACGATCAATTAATGCACCCCTTGACAATAAAAGCCTAAAGAAAGAATAAATATGACTAGTAACTGATCAATAATGTTGATTTGAATGTTGATTTCAAGAATAAAGTTGCCGATGCTTTAGATGTTAATGTAGATGTTGTCTACTAAAGCCTGGTTTCCTGGCTGCCTGTGTATTATAGGGTCGTTTTTAAGATCCTTTTAATCACGTATAAAACGCTAAACGGTGAAGGTCCAGAGTATTTACGTAGTCTCTTGGTGTGGCATGTGCCATCACGAAATCTTCGTTCAGGTGATAGACGATTGCTGGTTGAGCCCAGGTCCACCCTTGACAATAAAAGCCTAAAGAAAGAATAAATATGACTAGTAACTGATCAATAATGTTGATTTGAATGTTGATTTCAAGAATAAAGTTGCTGATGCTTTAGATTTTAATGTGAATGTTGTCTACTAAAGCCTGGTTTCCATAAAATCGCTACACGCTATCGCCAACTCCTTTGTCGACGCTTACTGGTCAGTTGAATCAGAGAGCATTCACGATTGCGTCGGGTACAGCTATGCAATGCAAAATTGCAGTAAAAACCGTGTAGCGATTTTATGGAAACTAGGCTTAAGCTAGCACGCCTTTATTTAGCACTTATTGGCACATTTGCCTTCACTGTTTCTATGAAACAGATGTGTATCACAAAGACATGACAATAGCACAATCAAACAGAATGATTATGAGTACAGTACATCGACCTCACTTTCCCTGTCTGTTATTTTACTTTTTATCTTTTTATAACCCATCTCCTACAAAGTGTAGAATGTTTGTGTGCTTTTTGTACTGCACTGGAAAAATTATCTCCATGAATGGAGGGGTGGATTTATTCGATGTCAACATCAAGGATAACCCAACAAAGTCTAGCAGAAGACTTATTTATAGTGGAGTCCTTCTGGTGATAATTGGGCAGTACACCGGGAGACAATCCCCTACTATTTTCCAAAGAGTGTACTGGGTTCTTTAACATGCACATAGGTCATAATGCACATGGGACCAACAGCTTAAATGTCCCATCCGAAAGACAGTGCGCTATCATAACTTGAATTTCAGCACTCCAGCTGGAACATAAGGAACCTAGAGATCTACCACCAGATTTGCCGACTGAGCTAAGCTTCTCTCAACTGGCTGGGTATCAGTCTTACTGCACAAGTAAAGAATACAAGACTAATTACGGTATATGCACAGTTCATACCTCATCAAGTCTAGCCTATTGTTGATAGCAGCCCAATGTAAAAGGCTACACCCTTCATTATCCAGAACGTTCACATCTGTCCCTTCATTGATGAGCTTGTTGACTCTGTCGTAGGCTCCATACTGAGTTGCTTTTACGATGTCGTATTCGCTGAAGTCTGGAAGTTCTTCCTTCTTATCAGGTGCCTTAGGGGCAAGCATGGATGGATTTGAGTAAATGGTGTTCGTATGGCGGTTTGCATCCTCCTGAGTTGGATATGCCTTTAAGTTATCATCACTCTATCAAAAAAAAAAAAAAAAAGAACTATATTAAGAAAGTAGTATGAGTAATTATATATACAAATAATTGATACCATCACAGAAGGCAATAATACAAAATTTTATTTAAGTGGTAAAATATCTAGCTAGCTTGTATTCTATGATGAAAAATGATGTACAAAGAACAGCAGTCTAATATGTTAGGTAAGTTTGTAAATTGGTCCTTAATATAAGCATAGCTTTGTAAGCTACTATCTTAAACTACTTCTTTTACTATACAGTATGTGATCAAAATTAATTACTGTGCTAAATAACATAAATCATTATTAGATAGTATAATACATTTTCCAAGTATCGAAATGTACGCCATTGTGTTGGTATTCAATATTTCAACATTAATTATGTCATCATCAGGAATAAAGGCCTGTTTACACTTCAACGATAACGATAAAAAAAAGCTAAAAAGCAATTGTTCATATAGAAAACAAAAGAAATAAGAGAAGATTTTACACTAGGAAGATTCGATAACGATTTATAGTGTATGCAATAACAAAATATTTTTAAAAATAAAATCAGATGACGCCATAATCATGGACAAACGATAAAATCTACTACGATGATTTTAATGTTTACCATGATTATGACGTCATCTGATTTGATTTGTCAAAAGATGTTGTTATAGCATAACTGATAAATCATCATCGAATCGTTCTAGTGTAAAAACTTTCCTTATTTCCTTTATTTTCTATATGAACAATTGCTTTCTCACTTCCTTATTGTTATCGTTATCGTTGAAGTATAAACAGGCCTTAAATCAGCATTGTTGTTGTTAAACTCTCATTTATGAATGAACCAAATAACATCAGTATTTACCTGGACGTTTCAATCACAATCGGTGATCTTTTTCAACTGGTTGTGTTGTTACGTCAGTCTATTGAACACAACAGGGACAGACAGGGCCCCCGCCAACATCAGCGCATGACGCCATCTGACTGATAACATCATGACCAGACTGAAGTAAAAACACAGTCAGTTAAAAAATATCGCCGATTGTGACTGAAACGTCCAGGTAAATGCCGATATTATTTTGGTTCATTCATAAATGATAATTTAACAACACTACATTATAGGATTTCTTATCTTAATACATGTAATTGGTCTCAAATTGTTCAAATTAGTTCAACCCTACCTGATCCAATGAAAATTAACGCTGGTAGGGGTTAAGGGTCCATTTTAGGCCCATTGTTACTTAATTATCTAATTCCATACCAAATGTCACTCAATGTAAATGTGTAATGTATGCAGACGATACTACCATTTTATGCAATTCTTCCGATCCACTCTTCTCCAAAATGAACAATTAAATTCAAATTTAATCAAAGTTACTGAATGGTTTGATAAAAATAAACTTACAATCTTTAGAACTAATGCAATTTTTTGCCTAATTTTGTTAAATATTTCATTATTTTATAATGGCATGACTATTGACAGAGTTGATTTATTCAAATATCTTGGAGTTGTGTTTAATTCAAAATTAACATGGTCTGAACATATTGAAAAATTAACTGGTAACATCTCTAAATGCAGTGGTGTTTGTTAAATATTTTTTACCCCATAATACTCTTAAGATGTTGGCTAATGCTCTAGTTACAGTATGCCTCTTTTGAATACTGTAATTGTGTTTGGTCCAACTGTAATATTAAACTTTCAAATTCTCTTCAAAATAATTTTAAACAGATTAGGAAGAATTTTACTTTCTGCAGACATAAAAACCCCAGTTGTAAATATTTTAAGTTCATTAGGTTGGAGCAAACTCAGTGATAAATGGGATGAACAAATGTTTAAATGGTCATGCTCCATCATATTTATCGAAAAATTTTGCTTTTAATTATGGTTTGCATACGCATTGTACTCGCAGTCTCTTACCTTGCATCCATATTTATTATTTAAATATTTTATTTTCTTAAGTTGCTTTCAATGTTCCTTTTAAATCTATATTATATTATTATATATTATATATATTATGTATATATATATATATATATATTATATATTATTATTATTATTATATTATTATTATATTATATTATTGTCTTTATATCTGCTTTTAAATTCATTGTAGTTAAAGAACTGAACCAATTTAGAAATCAGTACTATGTATTGAAAATGTATATTCAGTGTAAAGAAAGAATAAATAAATAAATAAAAAGACAAGTTTTTTTTCAATAAATGAGCATTGTCATAATTCAAACTTCTTAAATAAATTCTATCTCATAAATCACAGGTCTAATATTAAAAAGAATATTATTTATTAATTTTAATTATTATTACTATATTAGTACATTGTACCACATACTGTAGGCCTAGGCCTAACAAAACAAACTATTTATATTATTATTAAGTAAATAGTAAGTAGTTAATTAGTTTATCTTTAGTGTACAATTTTCACAACACAAGTGTCTATGAGCACTTATTCCTCGATGGTACAAGTCACCCAGTGAATAGATCGGGTATATCCTATTGCCGGTATCAGGGAGTTGTTATATTAGTGGTATGTAGGCCTGGCCTGTACTAGAGCTGTCCTAGCTAGGCTGGGCTAGAGAGGGACCAAGAAAGGAATTCTGGTCACTTCGGCCCAAAACCAAATCAGCACAAACCAATTCGGCCCAAACCATCTCGGCCCCAGGCGACACTTCGGCCCCAAAACCAACTCGGACCAAAACCACCTCAGCCCAGACAAAAACTCTATAGGCCTATACGATATTGATTTATTTAAGACAGCAGGTTAAAATAGTTGGGTGGTCCCTGTGTGATGAAATGAATAGTTGACTTTTATTGTCAGCTTGTGCAAGGTGCTACGTTCATCGAAAAACATATTGGGTGTGAAATTAACAGTTTACCAACAAAATATTTACCAGAAATAACAGTAGTGCACCTGTTTAATTCCAAAGTGTTAGATTTATTGAAAAAAAAAAACAAAAAACAAAAAAAAGCTGATATAAAAAAAACCGCCCTCCCTCATCAAATTTTTTTTATAAAAAAGAGTGAAAATGTAATAATTCTTTCTATGTGCTCTTATCAGTAATCGCGATTGCTATTCATCTGGGTAAATCCCGTATCATTTGGGTAGGCCTAGTTGTCTTCTGGCCCGAGCAGGTTTTGGTCCGAGTTGGTTTGGGCCGAATTGGTTTAGACCGATTTGGTTTTGGGGCGAAGTGACCTGCTACCCCAAGAAAGGACTGGGGGAGGGGGGCATAGGCCTATACCCTAGGCCAAACATACATAGGCTAGGCCTAGTCTATAGAAACTGGGACCTGGCCTGGGTAGGTTGTTTGGCCCCTAACTTGGCGCGCCCCTAAAGTAAAGGTATTTTAACCAGCCTACTGTCTATTTTGGTGAATGGTTGCCATTAATATTAATGTCTATCCGAGAAAGGCCTATATTAGGCCTAGGCCCTACGCTACGTTCATTTAAGAACAAGGTGTGGTGCTCCTCCGAGCCTCACACACAGTGGAGATAACAGCTAGCGTACAGAGAGATAACAGCAAGCAGGCCTATGTGCCTAGGCCTAGCCTAACCTAGCCTAGGTTGCTGACTGGACTAAACCTTTTAAATGAATATAGGTATAACAACGCTAAACATAAAATTTTTATATCCAAACTTATATCCAACCTTATCGAACAAAATTATCGCATCATTGCATCCAGCGTCTCTTGTAGCGGCAGCAGCCATTTTTGTGCGGGATGGATGGATTATACCAACCAAACTATCGAAGCCCATTGTAGCCCCTTCCAGTATGTATTTCATGCCAAGTGCCATAATCATAAATGTTCTTACGTCAGCCACAACCATGGTGGGGCTGAGTGGGTATAGACCCACCAACCATGGTGGGGCTGAGAGGGTATAGACTCAACGTCTGTGAAAGTTCTTCCCTGTTCCCCGCCCCCTCTGCCGTGAATTTCAAAAATGTGGCAGTGACATTTCGAAAGTTGTTTCCGTGACACTATGGGCCTGGCCACCGTACCTTATTGTAATTATCCTATAAAGGGTCCTAACAAACCTGTATCTAAAAAGTAATACGGTACAGAAACTATATGCATAGGGTACTGAAATATATGTTATTATGGGTGTGATTAAACATTACTGTAAAGTATTATTACTATTGCGTGGTGTAAGTAGCCATGCTTTTGTTAAACATTGTACACAGAATTTGACCTGTAATTATGTTTGTTAAATATCAAGTGTTTTAAAATCAATAATAATAATAATAATAATAATAATAATAATAATAATAATAATAATAATAATAATAATAATAATAATAATAATAATAATAATAATAATAATAATAATAATAATAATAATAATATTTATTTGGCATCAAAAAGACATGTTACAGTATTGCCAGGAAAGAGAATGGGCATAAACCCGAACAAGAAAAACATGCACTCTTATCCAACATCTTAACTACAAATTAACAGCTCAAATTAAAAACATCAAATTAACAACAACAATAATTCAACAACAACAACAACAACAACAACAACAACAACAACAAAATTACCTTTAACCAATCAACTGCAAAAACAGTAAAAACAACAGAAATAAACAAAGAAAATGCAAAGGAGGGAAAAACAAAAAGCAACAAAAAAGAGGATATTATTGATCCATAAACAATCAACTAATACATTGAAAGGAAGTGTTTTGTAAGGGCTGATCTGAAACTTCCAATTGATGTTGATTGTTGAATATCCACAGGAATTTCTTCCCATAGTCTTGGAAATGCAACAAATGCAGAATTTAGAAAGATATTACCTTTTGCATTCCAATGGATCAGTCTACCCTTACACCTTTCACTAAAATTAACATATTGATCAAAGGAAGATGGGCAAAAGCCGTTGATAATTTTATAGCCTAAATTTAATTTTTGTAATTTAAAAGTATCTTCTATAGTAAGAATGTTTAAAGATTTTAGCCTATAGTGATAGGATGTTTCCCAATTACCTTCTTTTCTAAACATAATAATTCTAGTAGCTCTTCTTTGTAGACTCTCAATTTTGTTAGTGTTATGTTTATCACCTGGTGACCACATTGCGCAGCAGTAAGTTACAATAGGCAATACAAGTGCTTTATACAGGTTAAGCATTGCTTCCCAAGACATATTTTTGCTACACCTGATAACAAAACCAAGAATTCTACTAGCTTTAGTACATACATAATTTACTTGAGTGTGACATGTAAGTTTAGAATTAATAACAACTCCAAGAAACTTAAGGTTATTTACATAATAGAACATAACCATTAGTATAGTTGGTCCAATGTGGTTTGCAAGTCATTATCATTTACAATTGATTTTTAATTTCTTTATGATTTTTTTAACTCTCATTCTATCAAGTAATTTACAATAAAAAAACTGTAAACAGTAAGTCTGATCTGAAACCTATAGATAAAACTTTAAAAAACACTCATGCACGATGATTATAAAAGGGAAAACTGGCGACACACCGTAGTAAGGCCCATTGGTTGAATAAGCCGTATCGGCCCAGAGAAGAAGAAACAGTAAGTGTCAATTAAATAATCAATCTAAGGATTTTTTAAATAAAACTGTCTGTAAATCAATAAAGATATTTTCGATATCACGTTTCCTTGAAGAACACTATCAAAAATATTATCCTTTTAATGAGCTATTCCAAATTTTAATTGGATTTTTGAGGTTTTTCCCAATTTTGTTACGGACACCAGAGCCTCGTCGGACAAATCCTGGCGCCATTACTTGATCCGTGCATGGACCTATTAAATAGATCCACGATCCGTGGGTCAGCAGGGGTCAGCAGCAATTTACAAGCAGAAAATGACAACATGTTTACCGTACTCGCTCGAATAAGTGAATATAAAATTTGAATAAACACCCCCTTAATAATCCAATTAATCCTAAAAAAAAATATTTTAAGCGCCCGGGCGAGTACGGTAGTTGGTATTTATGGAATAACGGGACAGAGGTAATTTGATTTAGTGAATCGTAAGTTTGGGTATAGCAGAAGGACAATATAGGCCTATAGGCCTCATAGTGCAAAATAATAAAAAGAGTGAGATTTGAACCCCATACTTTCGATCATGATATTATTGTCATTATTATTATTATTGTTATTTGTTTGTATTTTAATGATGAATATACTGTTGTTGGATGTGATAACTGTACATGAATATTTATCATAATTTAATAATTTTAATTTTGAATAATATGAATCTTTAATATTTTAAATTTTGATTTGATTTTTTTTTTTTTTTTTTTTTTTTTTATTTTGTTTGTGTGTGTGTGTGTGTGTGTTGCTTTTTGATTACTTGTTCCTTTCATTGCTTCCTGTGAATTGATTTTGGTTTGTATTGTTTTTGTTGGCAGGGGTTCGGTTAAGCACTTCAATTGATGACAGTTTTTAACTTTTGCTTTTCCTCGGCACCCCTGTTCAATTTTTTTCTGTTCGTTGTCGAAAGATTGAAAATAAATAAATAAATAAAGTTAAATACAGATACTGGAGGACGGAGATACATATAATATTGTCAATGTGTGAAAGTTTGACGTGAAACAGTCTAGTAGTTTTTGAGTTATTCTCCCGGAAGGACAAACACAAACGTCACAGACAGACAGACAGACCGACAGACAAACAGACAGAGACAGACGGAGCTCATTGCAATACCATCTTCCCCACTTCGTAATAATAATAATAATAATAATAATAATAATAATAATAATAATAATAATAATAATAATAATAATAATAATAATAATAATAATACTTTTATAAATCGCCTAATGCAATAAAATAGCCTCAAAGCGCAGAAAGATGCCAGTTTAAATTAGGTATATCGTATAAAAAGGTAATCAGTGCAGGAGAAGGCAACCCCATCAGGTACCCATATACTCCTGGATGGAGAGAAGCAATACAGGAAGGACACGAGATACACAGCAAGGGATTGAAAGAAGCCCGACCTCGAAGTTAGGAAACCTCTTCAAGAAGTTTCTCGACATAAACAGACGTTGGTGGCGCTCTCCAAAATTATTATCCCCACAGGATGACCTTTCCAAATATACCAACTATACCAACTAAACTAAAGTAAATGGCCCCTGGCTAAGTAAATAAAAAAGGCGAAATATTAAAATGATATGATACGATATGACTATTAAGCGGTCATATGTTTAACTGTTTAGCGATAATGATAATCGTGTATACTTAGTAAGCCTATTAACGGATCCAATGCTGAAAGTAACATCAATATCTTGAGCGGCGCCAGGTTCCATTCCACTTAAACATACGGTTGTGACACTCAAAGTCCCAACCTTTAGTCAGTTTCACCACACAGGGGGGTAAGAAGTAAAAAAAATATTCGTTACACACCCAGTGGCAAATAGTGAAATGGGGGTGAATGTGATGTAAAAATCAAAAAGTTTGCTCAGGCTCAGTGTTGCTGATTTCAGGCTCAAAATGTTATTTTCTTTATTTTAGACATTTTTCAAAGAAAAAAAAGTATTATTGTACAGTAGTATATTAATGTACTGTATTATAGGGAGCATTATATAATATATAGTCACACTTTCTGCACAGACAAGTACAAATAAGATTTGTTGATTTTTTTTTCTTTAACAAAATCTCATTTGACATTTTACCTTAGCCTCAATTTGTTCTTATCTTGTTCTTATTTTTTAAGCAATTTCAGTGTTAATGTTCTTATACAATGTGTTCTTAAAAAAATATAGAATCAACAGGTCAACTAGACTACCGTTTGTCCAATCTGCCAACGTACGTCTGACTCTATAGCCTATAATATGCTGTAGTCGCCACCGAATGATACAGTCGCAGCCAAATGCATTTTTCGCCGAACGGACAGCCGACGCTGAAGGTTGGGCCTACTATATACTAAATATTATTTCGATGGAACGAAATATTAATTCGAGGGAACGAAATATTATTTCGAGGGAACGAAACAATATTTTTTGTTAACGAAATGATTCCGTTCCCTCGAAATATTATTTCGTTCCCTCGGAATAGTTTACAAAAAAATCGTTCTGAAACGGGATTGTATTCCTCCAGATCAGACCATTTATGATGAGCCCTGACAATAATTTTAATCGATTTTAACATTTTATTTTGTGTATAATGTCTTCACATATATTTAATAATAGGTTTACTATGATGGGTAATTATATGTGTTTAATTCTTTATTTATTGCCATGTTTGCCATTGCCATTCATCAACTGTTTCTTATATTCCTATATTATAAAACGTGAGGGGATTCGTCTGTTCTTCAGGGGTAGGGGGTGGTGTCTGACAGGGAAACATCTAAAGCTCACTTCCCCACGCCTGACTCCAACACTGTTTTGCAAATAAAGCGTACCTTTAAGGCGTAAACATGGAGGAATTTTATATTTTAATTGCATTTGGATTTTTCATTACTATTATCTCTTTTTTTTTTATGAATTTTATCTTTACTTGTAACTTTTGTTCTGGTTGTATGGTCGAACCTCTTCTGCGTGAGAGTGTTCCTCTGCTTCGAACGAGAGAGCCAATAAATTATTATAACAAAAAAAAACACAAAAAAAAATATCTCTGCTTGTCAGTCAACACGATTTATCACTGCAGTAAATCTAAGCCACTATGCACACAGGCAAAGTCCAATCGTCAATACTTGAGAGTTAGATTTGTGGAGGGATTTTAATTGATACCAATTCCAATTCAGGGCACTGTATAAATTAACTAAATAAAGCGCTTATAATTATCAACTTACGTCCGGTGTAAAAAAAAAAAAAAAAAAAAAAAAAGAGCAGAGCGGGATTCCACAATTGCCAGAGGTTTCATTCCACCTAAACACATTACAGGGGTGACAAGCCAATCGAGGAT